GTTAGATCCCCTCTACGGGGTAAGATGTTAGATTCCAGTGATCTTGAGTCCCAGGTATTTTAGACTTTAAACTCTCAAAGATTCACTTGTCAATCAGACTGCCAGAAAATCACCTTTTTACCTAAGCAGCCCATAACTGCTCCATGAACTCCAGGGTCCAAGGAGAGACACAGTTAAAAAAGGAATGCTTGGCAAGTCTGACAACTATAAAGAAGCTGATACTAAGCTCTCCAACCTTCTGGCACCCCAACTGCAGTCCACTGGTGAGAAGTATTACAAATGCTTTTGGCAAGACTGTAGAGTCTTTTCCCCATATGACCTTTGAACAACATATGTGGTCACATATTGGCTGTCAACCACATAGAAGTCATGAGAATTATATTCCTATTTCATGGAATTATATTCCCATTTCCTGCAAAACCTAAAGACACAGCAGCAGATGACAGAATCCCTACAATCTCAGGCCAAAAGTGTACAGACAGATGTTACTCAGGCCAACATTGGATAGAGAGATGGTCCTCCTGCTCCTGGTCAAGAGCATTGGGTCACTCTTTTTTCACTAACCCAAGATCCTGCTACCTCAGGACCAGCTCATCTCTTTGGTAGGAAAAGGTGTTACAGTTAAATGGAGACAGGAGCATTAGGAAGGTGTGATAAAGCCCAAATGAAGCTCTAGACTCCGCAAGGATTCCTCATAAGTGCTGTCTCCAGTGTCCTGACTCTCAGAGATCAACCACATCTGATATTTAGCCATCTGAGAAGATGGAGAACAGATAGAAAGGGCTTCCTTTAATAGCTCTTACCTGGTATCACTCCCCAGATTCAAATCCTGCTCTATAAAATCCATATTCTTGACCTGGTCTTCCACATTTCCCAGAGATAGGTTATGTACAAAATCAGGAAATTATCATTTCATATCAGTATGATCTTATTGTTCTTCTGAAACAATAAATAAAAGCAATACTGAATTGTGTAAGACAGATGTGTCATCCAAGTGTCCCTGGCCTTGACTATGTCCAGAGTTTCTGTCTCTCTCCACCAGACTTCCTCCCTACCACAGGACATAGGATCTGGCATCCCATGTAGCCACAGCAACCAAGACTTGTGAGGGAGCTAATACTCACAGGTAAAAACATGAGTAGTGTATGTGTACATATATAGATGTAGACACATGTGCTATGGTGTATATGTGGAGGTAAAAGGATAACTTGCTGGAGTTGGTCCTCTCCTTTCACCAAATGGATCCCAAGGATTAAGCTCTGTATGTGTGCCTGAGAGAAAGCATGTTTATGCAGCCTGATATCTGAACACATAGCATTAGAATTATAGGCGGTTGTAACGCGGCTAGACATGGGTGTTGGGGACTGAATTCTGCAAGAGCAGCAAGACTATCTAGAGCCCCAAATGTGTGTTTGGGGGGGAGAAGGGATGAGAGGGGGCGAGGAGGGAGGTATAGTATGTTTGTATGTGCATTCTAGAGATTTGGATGAGGACATCAGGTATCTTTTTATCTCCATCTGCCTTATTCCTTTGAGGCAGACCTCTTTCTGAATATGGAGCTAGTAGTGCTTTGGCTTGGTTAGCAACCAGTAAGCCCCAATGATTCTCCTGTCTCTGCCACCCTACAGGGTGGCTACAGTTGTACAAGACACTGTACCAGGCTTGTTACATGGATGCTGGGATCCAAGTTTGGATCCTCATGTTTGTACAGCAAACTTCCTAACTCCTGAGTATCTCTCTAGTTCCTAGGCTCTGCTTTTGTTTCCTTTGTTTCTTTCTTCCTTCCTTTTCTTTTTAACTCTTGTGTTAAATTTTAATTTTAGTTCTGTGTGAGTTTCATATGTGTTTTGAGCATACTCTCACATCATAGGCTCAGTTTTCTAGATGGCTTGGAAAATAGAAAAAGAGGAAGACATTAGACTAGGGATGACAAGAACAAACTCTGCTGTACCTTCTCTGCTCCACTTAGCTCAGGTACTTGAACCACCTAGGTTCAGGGCACAGATTTTCATTATTTAGTTGTGTGTGAGGCATGGGCTGGTAGTTGCATCAATCTTCCTGCCTCAACCCCTGCTTATGGGATTATGGATATGGCACAAAGATTAGCATAAACATTAGTATAAATGGGGACTTTTTTGTTTGTTTGTTTGTTTGTTTGTTTGTTTTAGACAGGGTTTCTCTGTATAGCTTTGGAGCCTGTCCTGGAACTCGCTCTGTAGACCAGGCTGGCCTCAAACTCACAGAGATCTGCCTGCCTCTGCCTCCCAAGTGCTGGGATCAAAGGCATGCACCACCAACACTGAACCATGCTGGGGAAGTGAGGTTCTATTTTTTTGTTTGTTTGTTTTTTCTTACTTAGTTTTTATTCATAATCATAAACTTAGCAATCCAGCTAGATAGAGATAGAGGGGAACGAGGAAAATATGGAACCCAAAGAATTTCAGTGAGAGAAGAGATTACAGGGCATTGTGAGCAGATGGGGTGGGGGGTGCTCTCTTGAGCTACAGAAGGAATGGTTTGGTGGGTAAGAAGCCTGCAAGTCAAAAGAATTGGAGTTGTCCACAGTTGGAAATGGTGATCTTCTTGCTGGTCTTGCCATTCTTGGACCTGGAACACTCCATGGCTTCCACAATGTTCATGCCTTCTTTCACCTTCCCAAAGACCACATGCTTGCCATCCAGCCACTCAGTCTTGGCAGTGCAGATAAAAAACTGGGAACCATTTGTGTTTGGTCCAGCATTTGCCATGGACAAGATCCCAGGCCCTTTATGCTTCAGGATGAAGTTCTCATCTTCAAATTTCTCTCCGTAAATGGACCTGCCGCCAGTGCCATTATGACATGTGAGTAAAGTCACTACCCTGGCACATGAATCCAGGGATAATTCTGTGAAAGGAGGAACCCTTATGTCCAAATCCTTTCTCTCCAGTGCTCAGAGCACGAAAGTTTTGTGCTGTCTTTGGAACTTCTCTGCAAATAGCTAGAAGGAGACACAGCCCAGGGGCTCACCATTGGCTGTGATGTTGAAGAACATGGTGGGGTTGACTATGGCTGTAGGAAGAAGCAACAGGGGACAGCAGCAATTGCAAAACCGTTTGTTTTTCATTTTATATGTATATAAGATATTCTGAACTCTACAAATGTGCCCACATATACACATAGATTAAAAAAATACTTAATATTATGTGAATGTTCTTGAATGTATTCTGGAACTCATAGAGGTCAGGACAGGCAATGGATCTCCTGCAGTTGGAGTTACAGGTGATTGTGAGCTGCCCATGTGGGTGCTGGGAACAGAACCCAGGTCCTCTGGAGGAGCAGCCAGTGCTCTTACCCAGAGCCATGAATATTAACAAATGTAAATATGAAGCAAACTTCCTGCTTTAGCTTCCTGAGTGCTGGGATTAATAATGGTCTAGAGTTTTATGTTGGTGTTGGAGATGAAACCCAACGCTTTCTAAAGCTTTAGCACAAATTTGGCCATTGAGCTACATCCACATCCCTGCCATTTTAAGCATTCAATACAATTCTTGATCTCAAATCACTACCAGGGTGGCACAGACCTTTAATCATAGCACTTGGTCAGCAGAGGCAAGGCAGTTCTCTGAGTTTCATCTACATAGTGTGTTCCAGGGCTGCCCAAAAAGGGCAGAGGCAGATGGATTTCTGTGAGTTCCAGGCCAGCCTGGTCTACAGAGCTAGTTCCAGGACAGCCAGAGCTGTTACACAGAGAAAGCCTGTCTTGAAAAACAAAACAATCACACTCAGTGGGGGGTAGGGTGGGGGTGGGGTAAGGAGTGGGGGTGGAGGGGAGCATGATGGTCTTTGTGGCTGTGCATATCTTTAATCCCAGCAATTAGTAGAAGCAATTTAGAGGCAGAGAAAGGCAGATATGTGAGTCGAGGCCAGCCTGGTCTACAGAGTAAGTTCCAGGACAGGCTCCAAAGCTACACAGAGAAACCCTGTCTGGAAAAACAATAACAAAATAATACTCTAATTTTCCAGAGAGACTCTGTATTGGGCTTTCCCCTGGTAGGGCAGCCTCAGCCATCCCATGGAGCAGTAGCTTTAATGGGAAAGGCAATGACTCAGCTCTTCATTTACATAATAGTGGCACAGTAGGAGCAATTGAGTTTTAAGTTAAAAGCTGTAGGTTTCCTTTAACACATGATTTGGAAGAATGAAACTTCAGACATTCTGCTGGGAAGTGCGCTGCAAGCCTGTTGGAGTCTGTTTCCCTTTACCCTCAGTGGACCTGGAGGAGCAGCTACCTGGCAGTTATTTCTAGAGTTCTTTGAATATTCCCAAGCCCTCAGGCCCTATAGATCATTTGAGTTTGGCCAAAGGTTTCTGGGACAGGAGACAAGTTTGAGCTGGAGCTGTTGTGAATAGTGGCAGGCATTGTTTTCCTTGTTTTAGGTAACTATTAACTTCTCATCTTGATTTCTTAATTCTATCTGATACAGCTCTTCCTCTCCCCTTTTTTCTAAACATGTATTACATAATGTTCAAAAGAGCTACACCCTGCCAGGCATTGGTGGCACACATTTTAGTCCCAGCACTCTGGAGTCAGAGGCAGGAGGATCTCTGTGAGTTCGAGGCCAGCCTGGTCTACAGAGCTAGTTCCAGGACAGTCTCCAAAGCAAAACAGAGAAACCCTGACTCGAAAAACAAACAAAAAAGAGCCATGCCCTTTTAAGACCATAACTCAGGCCACAGAAGCAGCTCTGTTGTACATAGTAAGTAAGTCCCACCAGGGTTAAATAGTCAGGCCCTGTCTCAAAAAAGGAAAAAAAAAAGTTCTGGTGCAGTGGTTAAGAACAATTGTTGCCCTTGCAGAGGAATAGAGTTTAGTTCCCAGCACCAACATCAGGCAGCTCACAACTGGCTGTAACTCCAGCTCCAGGGGACCTGATGCTCTCTTCTGGCCTCTGCAGGCACTGCACTCACATGCACAAACCTGCATAGAGATGTACCTATGAATAAAAATGAAAAGCTTACTTAAAAAATGGACTGCTTTATGAATATGTGTATTACCTTTGTGCAGGGGCTATGCATACAATATTCTCTGTATCATTCCAATTTTTAGTTTAGTCTATGTGCTGCTAAAGCAAACACTTAATTTTAGACAGTCTGCCTAAGTTTCCCTGGTGGATTTTGAACCACTTATGTAGACCAGGCAGCCTTTGAACTTGTGACTCTCTTGCCTATGCCTCCATCTTGCTAGGATCACAGCTGTGTACTACCTGGCAGCATACTGAATATTTTTTTCACAGTAGCTATTTCACTTAGAGTTTATTAACAACAGAGATTAGTATTACCTGTGTTTGAAGTTTGTGTATGTAATGTCATCCTGTTTTCAAGGTCTACTCTCTTTCTCTGTCTCCCTCTTTGTCTCTCTCTCTGTGTGTGTTGAGAAAGGGTTAATGTAATTCTGTCTTGGAACTCACTTGTAGGACAGGCTGGCCTTGTAGGACAGGAGTGCCACCACTCCAAGCACCATTTTTAAATAGGGCTTTAGTGGTGCGTGCATGAAGTCCTATTGCTTGGGAGGCATAGGCAAGAGGATACCAAGTTCAAAGACTGCATGGGCTACATAGGGGTTTTGAGGCCAGATTGGGCTATATGGAACTGGCTTAAAAATCAAACCAAACAAAATTTGTGTGTGTGTATTTAGACAGTCTTTCCGTAATTCAAGTTGACCTGGAATTATGTATCCCAGGGTGGCCACCAATTTGAGGCAATCCTCCTGCCTCAGTCTACTGAGTCCTAGAATTATAGGCATGCTCTTCCATGCCTAGCTCTGTCTAACACTGTATTTGTAAAACTCTTGAGCCTTTTCCCATCACTGTATGCTGCTGTTTGTTTATCCTTTTGACATCCCAATGTAGAATCATAGTGTAATTATGATCCTATTCTACTGGTGATGGACTTTGGGTTTGGGTGCAGACTGTGGTCATTAGAACACCACTACTGTGACAATGATTACACATGCCATTTAGTGTATCTGCCACAGAATAATTTGTCTTTGTCTTTACTAAGTATTTTCTTAGGTGATTATAGTGGTTTATATGCCCTGAGAGAGGAACTGTTGGTCCAAGAGAAGTACATAGATAACTTTTCATTTAAACAATTCCAGTACTGACTTTCCCCAAAAATAATTTCCCCAAGCTCTATTATAGTATCACCAGCAGAATATGAAACATTGTCATTTGCCATCTTGAGACACTTTATAAAACTACCTACACTCTGTATTTTGTGTTATGGTGTGCTTGTGGAGGGCAGAAGACAACTTGTAGTCTGTTCTCTCCTTGTACCATGTGGGTCCTGGTAACTGAACTCAGGTTGTCAGGCCTGGTGGCAGGTGCCTTTATCTTCTGAGCCATCTTATTGGCCCACTTAGTAACTTTTTCTATTTTTAGACTTATATTTTTGACCATGGTGGGTATGGAATCCATTACTTAAACTATTTGCATACAATGGTATGGATGACTCATCACTTGTTCAAATCACCATTCTGGGAATGGACTAATGGCCACTTTCCAGTTTATCTTATAACCTAAATGGTGCTTGTTCTAGTAGTGGAAAAGCTACATTAAATGTTTGGTACATTTCACTTTTCCAATTTTATAACCTTACTGGCATTTGGAGACATTCAACAATTTTACTTTTTACTTCCCCAACTACAATGGTTTTTTTGTTTTGTTTTGTGTGTGTGTGTGGACAGGAGGGGGAGGTACACATTCATGTTGAGTCTAGAATTCAACCTCAGGTGTCATTCCCCAGGCATCATTCACTTTGTTATTTGAGACAGGTTCTCGCTGGCAAGGAGGCTAGGCTGCTGGCTAGTGAGCCCCAGGGATCCTCCCATCTTCATTTCCACCATGCTGGGGTTAAAATAATGTGCCATTATGATGGCTTTTTTTTTTGAGACAAGGCCTTATGTAATCCTAGCTGGTGTTGACCTTGAACTCCTAGAGATCTGCCTGCCTCTGCCTCCTGAGTGCTAGAATTAAAGGCATGTACCATCACACCCAGTTTATGCCCAGCTTTTAAAAATGTGGATTCTGGGTATTAAGTTCAGGCCCTCATGTTTGCAACTGAACTATTTCCCTGGACATAGTCTTCTTTTATTTAATTGATATTTTTTAAAATTCAATTTCATTTTTTAAGAAAGGGTCTTGCTATGTAGCTCTGGCTGTCCTTGAACTCACTATGTAGACCAGGCTGGCCTCAAACTCACAAAGAGCTGCTTATTTCTGCCTTCCCAAGTGCTGGGGTATTTTTAATTTGGAAAAAAATACATTTGAACAGGCTCCCCTGTGGCCAGGACTGGAACAGAATTTGCTATGTAGTCAAGGATAACCTTGAACTTCTGATCTTTATGCCTCTACCTCCTGAGTTTGGGGATTACAGGCATGTACCACCACACCCTGCTTGTTTGATAATGGGTATCAAACCAAGGACTTCACACTTGCTATGTAAGTACCAACAGAGCTACATCTCTGGTCCCCTTTTCCCCAAACGTCCTAAAAACATGTGTTTCACCATGTAAGGCAGGTTGCCTTGGAACTGGCTTTCCTCCTATCTTACCTACCTGTCTTACTTAGGGTTTTTATTGCCATGAAAAGACACCATGACCACATCAACACTTATAAAGGAAAACATTTAATTGGGGATGGCTTACAATTCAGATGTTCAAGTCTATTCCCATCATGGTGGGAAGCATGGTGGCATGAAGGCAGACATGGTGCTGGAGAAGGAGCTGAGAGTCCTATATCTGGATCCAAAGCCAGCAAGAAGAGAGGAGAGTGACACTGGGCTTAGCTCGAGCATTTAAAACCTTAGGGCCCACCCCCAGTGACACACTTCCTCTAACAAAACCACATCTACTCCATTAAGGCCATACCTCCTAATAGTGCCACTCCCTATGAGCCTATGTGGGACATTTTCATTCATACCATCATACTACTTAAGTGCTAAGTTATGACAGGCATTGCTGCCTCACCCAGACCTCTAATGTTTGTGTTTCTTCCTACTCCTACCCTTGTCAAAAGTAGAGATGACTCAATGGTTAAGAGTACTTGCTGCTCTTAATGGGGACTGGGGTTTGGTTCCCAGCACCCACATGGCAGCTCACAATCATCTGTAACTCCAGTTCCAGAGAATTCAGTGCCCTCTTCTGGCTTTTTTGGACACCAGGCACACATGTGTTGCAGACATGCATGAAGTCAAAGCACTCACAGACAATTGCATTTCAAGGAAGCCTGGGTTAAAGAGTTAAATCCTGTCTAAAAAGAAAAAAAAGCTTTAAAAAATCAAAATGATACACGTAGTTATTTTTAGAAGTCAAACTACACAAGGATTTTAAGACTGATCTTGTAACCTGCCTCCTCTGGAATTCCCAGTTCCATGGAGCCATTTCAACCATTAGCTTCTGTGTCTCACAGTACTCACTCTTGGCTTTCCCCTTTAGACTACAGCAGAGTCAGCAAGTGGCCTACCTCATCATCATGTAGCTGTCAAATTGTAAGGGCAGAAGCCTCCCGAATCTTGAGCCTTTCCAAGCTTCAGACACACAGAAAGTTTTGCTGCTGCAGCTGGCTGTTTTTAACCCTTGGGTTTATACCTACTTTTCTCCCCTTGTTGCTATATATTGGAGGTTTGTAAGTGGAGACAAATGCACATGCTTAGCTTTATGGTTAGGAGTAGAGAGCTTGCCTGGCATGTACAAGGCTCTGGGTATAATGGTACAGCAAAATTAACTTCTCCTTTAAAAAATGGAATCATGTTTATGTCTGTGTTAGTCATTCCTATGTAGGTGACTGAGGAGGCCAGAAGAAGGTGTTGGATTGCCTGGAACTAGACTTCTAGGTGGTTATGAGCTGCTCAACTGGGTGCTGGGACCAAACTTGTGTTTTCTGGAAGAGCAGGAAATGTTCTGAACTGCCGAACCTTCTCTCCAGTCCCTGCCTACCTTTTTGGTTGTTAGCCTAGCCTTTAATGGCTGAGTCATCTCCCCAGTCTTCACCCTAATCTTTTATAACAAGGTTTCTGGGATCTGATCTCAGGTCCTTTCATTGCTCTTACCCACTGAATCATCTCTTTAGCTCCAACAAACTTACTTTGAAAATAGAACCAGGTATGCATGGGAGTATTCAAGGGCAACAGGAGGGGAGGGTTGGGGGGATGGATAAGGGTAGAAGTCCTGAATGTTATTCTCTGATCCCCATAAACGTAGAATGGTACTTGTATGTACAGTAATAAAAATTAAAAAAAAAACTCTCAGGGCCTCACAAATGCTAGGAAAGAGTTCTACTGCTGAATTATACCTCTAGTCCAATAATATTTTTTTTATCACAGAAAATAGGCTTATAATATGTCTCAAAGCAATGTGCAAACAGATGGAATGGTTGCTTTGTCTATGGAGATGAGCTCTCCTAGTTTAACTTTTGTTTTTATTTTCTGGGTTTTCAAGATAAGGTTTCTCTAGTAGTTGTGGCTGTCCTGACTCTTGCTCTGTAGTCCGGGCTGGCCTCAAACTCCAATCCTCTTGCCTCTGTCTCCTGAGTGCTGGGATTAAAGACATGTACCACTGCTGCCCAACTTAACTTTTAAAAAAATTATCATTGGGGCAGGAAAAGGATGCATACTGATTTTGCAGAGGACCCATTTTCCAGCACCCATGTCAGGCAGCTTACTACCTTTTGTAACTCTAGCCCCAAGCAATCTGACATTCTCTTCTGGCCTTCATAGCTATCTGCACTCCTTGTGTGTGTGTGTATATGTATGTATGTATATGTATATTTACATTATTGTGTGTGTGCCTGTATGTGTATGGACATGTTCACCACAGTGAGAATGTGGAGGTCAGAGAACAACTTTTGGGATTTGGTTCATTCTTTCCACCATGCGTTCTGGTGGACTCAGGTTTGCATGGCAAGTGCTTTTATTCAATGGGCCAACTCATTAGCTTAAGTTCAACTTCTTGAAAGTTAACAACTGAGATTTCCCATTTTCCACTTGTTTCCATTTTGGATTTTTTGAGTTAGAGTTTCATGTTGCACAGGCTGTCCTTGAATTCACTATAAAGTTATGGTTAGTCCGAACCTGATTTTTCTGCTTGTACCTTCCAAGTACTGAGATTACAGGCATGTACCACCACCCATGCCCAAGCTCATCTTTCTTCCTTCACTAAAATCTTTGCTTCTTTGTGTTTATTCATCAGTAAGAATTTTAGTGTAAGCTGGGTGTAGGAGTGCATCTTTTCTCCCAGGATTTAGAAGGCAAAGGCAAGCAGATCTCTGTGACTTTGATGCTAGCTGGAGAGACCTGTCTTTAAAACACCCATAATTAAGCTGGGTATAGTGGTACACTTTTACTCCAAGCAATCAGGAAGCAAAGGCAAGCAGTTCTCTGTGAGTTCAAGGCAAGCCTGATCTCTATAGTGAGATCACCAAATATATACATGTGCATGTATTAAGAATCAGCCATTGCCATGCTTGGTTTTGCTTATATCTAGGATTCTTAGCTGTTTGAAAATAATTTCAATATATTAATTTTCTCTATCAAATTAATAAAGTATCATTCAGAGGCAGAAGCAGAAGTAGCAGGATCATTTTAAGTTTCAGGCCAGTCTGATCTACACAGTGAATTCCAGGCCAGCCAGAACTATAGGAAACCATGTCTTCAAACCATACTAAATCCAAATGAGCACTTTAAACTTAGTAGAGTTTTTGACACTGCAAGTGGGAACCCTTTCATATTGGATCAATGACCTACTAGAATACTCAAGTTTATTGCTGAAAGGAAGTGCCAAGAGGTGAGGCAGTCTGGGTCATTTTATTGGTGCATATCTCAAACGATGAACTTGGGAGTAATGCTTACTAACCAACTATGCCAGAGGATCATAGACTAGTTTTTATGGGTACAAGAATATAAATATGTACAATTTTCTTTATAAAGAAAGGTCTTGATTTTATTCCCCCTTATGAAATAAAGGCGCTGTGAAAATACAAAAGGTGAATGCTAGTTACTTTTCTAACGTTAAATCACCTTCCTCTTTTAAAATGATCACATTCTATGAACAGATGCCTGCTGGCATAGCAGAATACAGAAGGATTAATTAGCAAGGTCTAGAAGTTATATTTCAAGGAAGATCATTCTATAAAGGCTAATCATTTAATTAAGATATTTATACATAGTGACCATTACCATGAGAACAAACCTTAAGGTTAACAGACTTCTTGAGGTTATTAATACAAAATGGACTGAAGATCCCGGTTCCTACAAAAAGTCTGATGTTGAATGTGTGGTATACTTAACAAAGAAAAATGAAAAGGTTCTAGAGGAAAGTAAACCTTTTTTTTTTTTAACAACTCTAACTTGCTTTTTTTTTTAAGCTGAGAAACTGAAGTTGGAACCTGTGATACTATGAATGACAGGTAAGTGCTCACTACATCCCTAGACCTGCACAATGTTTCTTAACCTTGAATTGGGTGATGTTTATGCCATTCAAGTGAACTTACTTAGCTCAGCTTTTGGCTTTCAAACAAAATTTTGGAAAATATCTGGAAAGAAAATAGTTTTGAAAGTGCTTTCTCTTGTTCTTTGGTATAATTTGGTCATTCTGATAATAATTAAGCCATTAAGTAAGTACTTTAACAAAAAGGATATATATATATATATATATATATATATATATATATATATCTTAGAAAACCATGACTAAAGAATACATTATATTGCCAACCTTGTGAAAAACAAATTAGTATTTCATCTGTGTTTCTGTGGCATAGCTAGCTCTGCTGCCTATAACAACATCATTGATTTATATGAAATGTTACATACAATATCCTGTTATATTTGATCATTACAACAGCTGTTCTACATACTTTAGAAGAGGCAAGTTTTAGCTTGAAAAAGAATAATTTCAAATTGCTTAAAGTTAACCCCTTTGTGCCTTCTGATTCAGCAAGCATCAAAATTTAATGTCAGCACACTGTTAAGAATTGGTTTCAGGCTAATTCTCTTCCTGTAGCATCTTTTCAATTTCTTTATCCCAGTTTTCATCTCGCTTCTCCGACTCTGCTACCACTTCATATTCCTGAAGTTCCTGTTGTAGCTCCTTTTCCCAATCAGCAGAATCTTCTACAGGAAACGAAGGGAGAGGTAAGAAAGGTATTTTTTGAACTCAATACTTGTAATAATTCATTCAACTGTAATACCTGACACAAGGCCTAGCCATTTCTTTTTGTAGTACCAGGCATGGGAACCCAGGGCCTTGGACATTGCTAGGCAAGCACTCTATTAATCTATAATTCCAGCCCCCATTTCTTCCTCATTTTAAAACTACTTTGTGTTCGTGTGTGGTATGTGTGAGTGCAGGTACACAGGTGTCACAAGGGTATGTGTGGAGGTCAGAGGATAATTTCCAGGATCTGGATCTCTCTTCTTACCATGTAGGTCCTAGGAACCCAACTCAGATCGTCAGGCTTGGCAGTGACCATGGTTACCTGATGAGCCGTCTCTGTGGCCTTGTCTTTGAGAGAGGGCATCATGTATCCCAGGTTGACCTCCAATACAATACTGGCTGAGGATGACTGTCAATATCTAACCCTCCTGCTTCTACCACCTGAGTGTTGGGACTACAGGTGTGGCCACCATGTCCAGTTTTATCATGTCTGATATTAAACCCAGCACCTTGAACTGCAGAGTGTTATAGAAATAAGAGAGAAAAAAAAAACATGGCTACTTAAAAAGGAAGGTGAGACAGCATGGTGGGATTCCTGTAATCCAGCACACAGGAGATGAAGAGACAGGAGGTCAAGGCCAGGAGGCTAGACAATGAGACTGAACCAGTCTGGGCTACAGGAGAACCTTTCTCAAACAACACAAAGTTAGGGTTGGGGATGAGTGAGATGTAACTCAGGATGGCTTCAAATTCATGTCAGATCTTCTGTCTTAACTTTCTAAGTGCTGGAATTAGAGAACTGTAGCTACCCCACCTAGTTGGTAGTTGTTGATTGGCTTTATTATTTTTTTTCTGAGACAAGGTCTTATATGGGCAAGAGTGGCCTCAAACTTCTGATCTTTCTACCTCTTGAATACTGGGATTACAAGTGTGCACCACCATGTATGGTTTTGTATGGTGCTGAGGATTGAACTCAGGGCCTCATGCAGGCTAGGTAAGCACTCTACCAACTGAGTTACATCCTCAGCCTCTGTCTACTGGCTTTAAAATGATATTGGAATTAGGAAAAAGAACAAAGATTTGTGTATGTGTGCATGTGTTACCTTCTAATGCAATTGTTTCCTCTTGCTTTTTATCAAGTACAAGCTGCTCCATTTCTTTTCTTAAATCCTCCTGGTTTAAGTTGCAGGCATCAAAGGCATCACTGACAAACTCAGAAACGCCTGGGCTGGTAGAGATTTCCTCCTCATCCTGAAATGCAACCAAAGAGCTCTTGGAATGGATTCTAAATGACACCCATGCCTCATAATTTAACACAGTCTCATTTTTTTGTTCTTCTCTGCTAGCTGTAAGACAATGCTCACTGCTTTCCAACCTTCTAACTGGCAGTTGCTTGGTAACAGAGTGAGTTACCACCTGAGGCTATTATTCTCCCTCACTGTTTAGATCACTCAAACCATTCTCTCTGATTCCTGATGAGCACATCTAGAATTATTTATGTCAGGAAATCAACTCAGCTCTCAGCTACAGGCCCTTGACTATTCAAGTACTGGACTCCTCATTTTGCAGGGATAAGACTGACACCGTCAAGCAGTTTTAAATGGTATCAGAGATGGTTAACCCAGTAACTTCATTTTCAGACATCATCTACTAGGTATAATGTAAAACTGTATTACCTCTTGAGTTTTAAGCTGAGATTTGATTACGACAGGTGGTGTTTTCGGCCGTACTGCCTCTAAGGAGTGAGAATAAAAGAGACAATAATTGCTTCGTTTACTTTTGAATGCGAATCATAAGAACAGCTAAAATATTCACAGATAAGATGTTAAATCATTTTCAGAAATGAGCTTTTATGGTATATTTTTAGCTCTCTTGAAGTTATGACATGACATAGCCAGGCACTACCATGTCAACCTCCTACTTTGGTGAGTGTCCTTTTGTTTTATCTATTTAGACACAGAGTCTCATTATGTAGCCCTGACTACCCTGGAACTCACAGAGATCCACATGCCTCTGCCTCCTGAGTGCTGGGATTAAATATATGCACCATCATGCCTGGCAGGAATGCCATTTTAAGTCTGCAATCACATTCAGTATCCTTATATGGAATTGTCATTAGGAAACCATCTTTGGTCTTCAGTGTCAACATAACTGATTCTGTGGTTTCTTTTAGGGTACTAAAAATGAAGCTATTTATCAAGCTTGTTACCAACCAGGTTAGAAAGTACAAAGGAAAACACAATACCCCTCCTGGCATTCTGTTGGTTATCCTATAAAGATTTAAGTAAGTGTGTGTGTGTGTGTGTGTGTGTGTGTGTGTGTGTGTGTGTGTGTGTGTGGTGAGGGGGTATGTGTCTCCTCAGAGGGTGTTGAATCCCCTGGTCCTGGAGTTACAGGCAATGTGAGCTGACTAATGTGGGTGTTGGGGACTGAATTTGAATCCTCTGTAAAAGCAACACTCACTCTTAACTGGTGAATCATCTCTCTAGCCCTTCTGCTCTTTATCGTATTAACCATGCTGACAGTCCTTACTGAGTACTTTTAGGTCCATTTTGTTAAACAGGCAGTCTTTGGGGAAACAGCTTTTTTTCTTTCCTTTTTTACTTTATTTATTTATTTTTTATTTTCGGTGGTGCTGGTTATGAACGTATTGTTATCTGCACATGTTAGGTAAGTGCTTTACATGTGAGCTATATTCCCAGCGTAGCATTTCCCAATAACATTAATTTAAGTAAGCCAGGAATGATAGCCTGTGCCTGTAATCTAAGCATTTCAGGGGCAGAGAAGCAGGATGGCTTAGAAGTTCAGCACTAGCTGCGGCTACACAGTGAAACCCTGTCTCAAAAAGCTACCTTCTAAAAACCAAAAACCAACCACAATTTAAGGATATTTCTAAAGAATGAAAGTTTACTGGGATTCAGGATACTATATGCAACCTGACCTTGAGTATAGTTTCTGAGCCTCTCCTAGTAGTTTGTAAAACCTGTGTCTTATGACATAACTTACATAAAATTCCACAAACTAAATTGCCCACTTCTTATCAGATGATTCTATTGATAATTAGAACATATCTATATCCACAGCAGGCACTCATGAAAAAATGAAGGAAAAACATAAAAGGGCTAGAGATATAGCTCAGTAGAGTTCCTGCCTAGTATTTGCAAGGTGGGATCCAATCTTGGTGCCATAAAATAAATATATAAAATATTATACAATATATATTAATCAACATGTAAAATAATAAATTAAATAAAAAATGCTTTGACTCTAAAAATATATATATATATATATATACATATTAATATTTATTTCTATTTACTTTGTTTACTTGGTTTTTTTTTTTGAGACAGGGTCTTACTATATATCCCAGACTAGTCTGGAATTCTGTGTAGACCAACAAGGCTTCCAACTCAGAGATCTAACTGACTCTGCATCCAGATTAAAGGTGCATGCAACCATGCCCAGCTTTATTTTTATTTATGTCTGAGTAACCATGGAATTCAGAAGAGGGTATCAGGTCCCCTGCAACTGGAGGTATAAGGGACAGTAAGCCATCCATGTAGATGCTGGGACCTGAACTCAAGTCCTTTGGAAGAGCAGGAAGTGCTCTTAATTGCCAAGTCAACTGTTCAACCCTATATTAATATGATAGTTCATCAAACAGTTGCTGATATTATAAAACTTGTTTCCTGGCAAACAGGGGTAATACATCACAGGAGGAAAGTACCAGATGTTTAATAGATACTTGTTATTGCACTGGAATAAGCACGACTGGGCTCTACAACCATTAAGGCCCAAGGAAAGTAGGATGAATTGAAGTCTGAGAAACATCTGGCCTTGGTAGCACATGCCTGTAACCCTAGCACTTGAGATATGTAGGCAGGAGGATCAGGAGCTCAAGACCAGCCTGGACTACATGAGACCTCAAAACAGTCCAAAGGGGCAAGAAAACGAATGTAGAGAAGGTTGTCATCCAAGAGTAATAAAAAGAGGAAAGAAGCCTGGTGCTGGTGGCATACCTTTAGTCCTGGCACTAGTATGTAGAGGCAGGTGGATCTCTGAGTTTAAGGCCTGTCTGCTCTATAGAGCTAGTTCCAGAACATCCAGGACTACACAGAGAAATCCTGTCTTGAAAAAGACAGGAAAAAAAAAAAAAGAAATTAAGAATCAAGAATGAGATAGCAAAAATACACTTGGGGAAGACACATGTAAGCTGGGCCAGAAAGGGCAGCAAAACAGAAAATTTCCTTTGGAAAGAAAAGAATGTTTCTGTGCAGAGATGTCAACATTTTTGATGCACACAAGGTGACAAGCTCATTACCATCTCTAAGCAGGAATATTTTACATCAATTCTTTTCTTCCAGAATGATCTCTTCTCCCTAGAATGTACCTGTCAGAGGCAAATCATCCTCTCTGCTGCTTTTCTCTTCCTTTCCAGAGGCTTGCTGCTGGGCAGCCAGTGCTGTGAGTTGGGCTGACTGCTTAATCAAGGAGATGCGGTAGAAGTAGTTCCTCCAGAATACTTCTTCCTTCACACTTTGATAGACAGTGACACATGTGAGAATGTGAGGGTCAAGGGCACACAGGTTAGCATAGCAAAGCCTAAAATAGATCATTACTTATTTGGCTCTGGGAATATAGGGTTTCATGCACTACCAGGCAAGCCTGCACTCCACTACCAAGCTAAAGCTCCAGTCCGAGTGCTTTCAGTCATTGTGAGGGCCAAAGGAAATGATCATTTGCTTTACAAGTGAAAGCTAAACAACAGGGTATGGCACACTATAGTCTCCATAGCAGCAGAGATTATACAATGCTCATGAACTACCAGTATTCCCTGGTGCTTCTATTTATCCTATTAATTTTATTCTATGTGTACAGGTATTTTTGCCTGCATGTATGCAAGGACCATGGAAGCCAAAAGAGGCATTGGAATCCCCAGAAGTAGAGTTACTGACTGTGGTGAGCTACCATGCAGAATTGAATCTGGGTTGTTTGGAAGAGCAGCCAATGCTATTGATTGCCGAGCCATCTCTCTAGTCCCTTTTTAAAAATTACATGTACTTATCATGTGTGTATGTATATACATGTAAGGTCTATAGGACAATTTTCAGGAGTTCTCTTTTTCTTCCATGTGGGGCAAGAATTCGTGGTTTGGCAGCAAGTGCCTTAACCTGCTGAGCTATCATGGTGACCCTCATTTCTTAGTATTTAATACATAGATTTGACTCTTGACAGAAGGAAACAATACATTCATGTGTGGCAGTGTGACTAACCAGGGGAACTTGAAGCTGATACAGGACACTATATTTTCTAAAGGATTATATGCTTTTATGCAGTAGGAAGAAACTATTGCAGATGTTGTTGTTTCTTACTTTTCATACATTTGTATGTTTTGGTATATATGTCTGAATATGTGAAAGCACATATATACACATGTATGTGGAGGATGAATGTTGAATACGGATGGGGAACCATCCTCAACTGTTCTTCCACTTTATTATATACTGAGGTAGGATCAGTCAATCAAACTCTGAGCTCACTGATACAGCCAGTCTAGATATGGCTAGTCTGGTTGTTCAGCTGGCTCCAGGATCCTGTGTCCTCTTTTCAAGGCTGGACCACACCCACCTCCCATCAACATTGGTCCTGAGCATTTGAGTAAGTCTTCATGCTTACCAGGCAAGTGTTTAACTGATGAGTCATCTCCCTACCCCTTGTTTTTTTTTTTTTTTTTTTTTTTTTTTTTTTTTGAGATTGAGTCCCACTGGGTGGTGGTGCACATCTTTAATCCCAGCACTCAAAAGGCAGAGGCAGGCAGATCTCTGTGAGTTTGAGGCCAGCCTAGTCTACAGAGCTAGTTCCAGGACAGCCAAGGCAATACAGAGAAACCCTGTCTTGAAAAACAGTCCAAAACAAAACAAAAAACCAAAAAAAGACTGAGTCTCATGTATCACAGGCTGGCCTCAAAATCACGACATAGCTAAGGTTGACCTTGAACTCCTGATCCTCCTGTCTCCATCACTCAAGTGCTAGGATTATAGGTTTTTGCTACCACACCTGGCTTAGAAAATAACTAGCTGGCAGCTTGCTAAAGTAGCTAGCAAATAGTAGAAACAATGGGAGATGTTATAAAGACTTTGGGTGTGGGGCAGAATTGGGGATAGAACCCAAGGCTTTGTGAAAACTAAGCAAGCCCTCTACTACCAAATTATACTCAAAACCATCTGAAGATGGTTGATAAAGACTCAAGTTCTATTCAACCTGAAAACTCACAGTGGTTCTTAAACTTGATTGCCTATTGGACCTGCCTGCCTTGAGGCATTGGTGTCAAGTAGAGTATGGTAGGTACACACAATAGATGGCCTAGAAAGGACAGTAAGAACAAAGCAGAGAGTGGTATCTGAGTGGAGGATGAAGGGGAGTTAGAAATGAGAGCTTAGTGACATGCACAGTATTGAAAAAAATAAAAACATTAAAGGTCATAGAACCAGGCTTCTCACTGCCAGAACAGGGAGTTACAAACATGGCAGGAAAAAATGAGTATGATCCTTATTGGGAAGTATTCCTGTGGACATAGTTTTCCTTCCATGGAGACACAACTGAGCATGTGTACACCTCCTAACTATATCCTCTGCTGGTGAGGTGTGACACCCCAATGATGCTCAGTTCCATGTCATTTTCTGAAAACCATTATTATATTAATATGTGCTAATAAGGAAGAATAAAATTTAATTTTCTATTAAAAGGTACCAGCACTTTCTGAATTTATAAATGGTGTATACTAGGATTAGAGGAAGGTAAAAATAAATGAGTTTGAAGGTTGTTGTGGTGGCCCACATCTTTAATCCCAGCACTCAGGAGGCAGAGACAGGTGATCTCTGAATTTGAGGCTAGCATGGTCTACATAGCAAGTTTCAGGACAACCAGGGATACATATTGTAACTATCTCAAACAAAACAACTGCCAAAGGACACAGATGTAAGTTTTGCTAGGCTCCCATTGGTCAAAAGTAATGATGATTTGAGTATCAAAATAGTAACAGATTACAACCCACTGCATCAAATGCATTAGACAATATGGATATAAATACAAGAATATGTGGAAAATTTGATGATGAATAGAATGAAATTTCAAAGTCCCTATGGGGCCAGTGGGCAAATGCACTTGCTGCTAAGCCTAATAATGACCAGAGTTTGATTCCTGAGCTCCAAATGGCTGAAGGAAAGAATTGACTCCCACAAGTCCTTCTTCCCAAATATTATGTTGCCATTAAGTCTTTAACGCTGATATATAGCTCTATTGGTAGAGTACTTGCCTAATATGCACAAAGTCCTGGGTTTGCTCCCCAGGCACAGTGGGATATATGGCTATAATCATAGTACTCAGGAGATGGAGGCAGGTAGGAGGATCAGAAGGCAAAAAAACAAAACCAGTTCTTGGCCAGCCTGGGATACATGAGACACTGTTTCAACACACACACGCACACACACACACACACACACACACACCACCACACAAAATCCATGAAGTGTTTATTCACAAAATATTAATTTCTTTTACTTTTTTTTCTCCTCCCAACTCCCCTTGAAGTAGGGTCTTACTCTATAGCTCACCTTGAGTTCTTTATGTAATATCAGCTCAGGCTGCTGTGGACTCTTCTCCTGTCTCAGTCTCCTCAGTGCTGGAATTAAAGGTATTTGCCACAGACCCCAGCTTTTTTTTTTGACTTGTTATCATGTGCTTGCAGTACTTGCAGAGACCAGAAGGCATCACATCCCTTGGAGCTGGAGTTGCAGGGGGTTGTGAGCCATCCAATATTGGTGTTGGAAACTGAATCTGGATCCTCTGCAGAAGCATCAAGTGCTCTTAATCTCTGAGCCATCTCCCCAACCCCTTACTTGTTTATTTAAACAGCATTGTGATGTGTACTCAGGCTGGCACTGAACTCACTATGTAGCCCCAGTAGTAGGATCAGATGTGCACAACTGTCAGATGTGCCCACTTCTAATTATTATCATTATAATTATTTGAGACATGGTCTCAAAATATAGCCCAGGCTAGTCTTGAACTTGGTATTCTGTCTCTGCTTCCTGAGTATTGGTATTACAGGCCTTGCCATTATACTCAATACTAATTACTTTCCAAGAGGAAAACAGTAATTTTACAGTTAAGAAGCCTGCCAAACAGCACCTTCAAGTGAACAAGGTATTAACTATATTGGGACAAATAAAAGTGTGCCTTATACAAGGTCCAAGTGATGAAAAGAGACTGATGAGACATAAGAACTAAATGTAATCTATGATATTAACTGGATTCTTTGTTAAATTAATTGGATTCTTTTGCTAAAGAGAACATTATCAGAACAAATAAAACATTTAAAACAGGGCCTGAAAACAAGATTGTAATAATATGAGATCTGCTGGTTGCCTGTGACCTGATTTGATAGTCATACTGGGGTTGTGGGAAAGAATGAATGTCTATAGGGACTACATAATAAAGTATTCAGGCTTGAACTTAAGGGCTTGGTGATGGAACGATTGCTTTACCATGTGCAAGGCATTGGGTTCCATCTCCAGTACCCTTTCCCACAAAAAAAGAATCAAAGACCATGAGACATCAGGTTTCAAATGAAAAAAAAAAAAAGTTTTCTGGGAGGCTGAGGCAGGAGGATCCTGAGTTCAAGGCCAGCCTGGATTACCAAGGAGACTATCTCAAAACTAAAAATGAAAACAAAACAATAAGACCAATTAATAGGAGGCTAGAGAGATGGCTCAGTGGTTAGGACCACTTGCTCCTACTTCAGGGGACACGAGTTTGGTTCCCAGCACCCATGTCAGATGGTTTGCAAATGTTTGTAACTCCAGCTCCTGAAGATCTGATATCATCTTCTGGACTCCCCATCAGGTAAAGGTACTTGTCATACAAACCTGGTGACCCTGAATTTGATTCCCAGGACCCACATAAAGGTGGAAGGAGAGAACCAACTCTATAATTATTCTCTAACCTCAAAACTGAAGGCAAGTCACTTGTACCCATATACACATATTGGGCGGGCGGGCGCACACGCGCATACACACACACACACACACACACACACACACACAAATTAATGAATTACAAATGGCCTTTGTGCGTGCTCCAGTGGTGCAATCAGTTATCACACAGTACTTATACAAATGGTCTTTGTATTGCATTCACATCTAACTTTTCATTCTTTCAAAATAATAATTTTTAAAAATTGATGACTATTCTCTCAATTAAATTATAATCTCTAGTTTGGAAGACAAACCTAAACTGAATCAAGGGAACACATCTGGGGAAGGAGCTCAGTTGGCAGGCACAAAGCCCTGGGTTCTAACCCCAGTACCATATAAACCGGGCATTGTGGCCTAAATCTGTAATCCTAACTTCAGGGTTGAGGCAGGAGAATCAGAAATTCAAGGTTATTCTCCATTACATATAGCATTCCAAACCAGCAAGGAATAGGTGAGAACTTGTTGCCAACTAACCACATAAAAACAAAAACAAGCCATTATAAACAAATGTGGAGCATCTAGATTTTCCTTCTCTGAGTGTCACTTTGATCGCCTTGGATGCTCTTTCTGAACCATCACTTATAAATTGAAGGGCTGGGCAGTGGTGGTGCATTCCTTTGATCCCAGCACTTGGGAGGCAGAGGCAGTCAGGTCTCTGTGAGTTCAAGACCAACCTGGTCTACAGAATGAGTTTCAGGACAGGTTCCAAAGCTACACAGAGAAACCCTGTCTTGAAAAACCATAATAATAATAATAATAACAACAACAAAGAAACAAACAAAAAAACCTCACAACACTATAGAGAAACCATGTTTCAAAAAAACAAAAAGAAATTGAAGACTATTCGAAGTGTACATTAGTGTGTGTCAGTACTTCCTTATGGCAGCCTGAACCCACAAGTGCCCTGCTGCTGCATCACAGACACACTTTGAAGCCCTCTGATAGCAGGGGAGAAACTACACAGGCTGACATATGCCTTGTGTTCCTTATAGGGTGTCCACAGGCTTCTAATGCCTTAAATCCAACACAAAAGCAGAAATGCATTTGTGTTTGGGAGCTGCAGCTGTGCCCAGGAGGTTTCTTTATCAGAGGACCTTTTGGAACCTTTACAATGTCATCTGGAGTGTGATTCTTCCCTAGAGGGTGACACACCAGTTTTCTGCAAAGTGTCTGCCTCTCTTACATCAAGAGGGAGGGAGTCTGGCAAAGAAAGAAGTCCAAATGGTTGTTTTTGCTCATCAAAAGAGCAAACAGAGCCCATGAGTCACCACAGAGACATTAGTACACCCAAGGTTTGTTCATGTGAGATGTTTCACAGAGCTCAGAATTAAAAGTGGCCTTGAAGATACTTAGGCAGCCCACTTTCTCAACGTTTCCCCCCTTTGAGACAAAGTTTCACTTAGCCTGTAACACAAGCTTTGCCTGGAACTTACTATGTAAGGTCTCAAACTAGTAGCATTCTTCTTGTCTCAACCTCCTAAACACTCAGATTATAGGTGTATGTTAGCACACTTAGCTGCAAATTCACTTTTGCCTGGCTCTGATGTTTTGGCTTAAGACCTTGGGCCTTAAAATGTAAACAGGTCCATTTTATTCCCCCAAGTCTCATAGTTTCTTTCTACCATGTAGCCCCAAGGACTTAACTCAGGTCCTCAATCTTAGCAGCAAGTGTCTTTACCCACTGAACCATCTCAAGCTGGATTTTTATCAAATATTTTATTTGTATGGGTACTTTTGCCTGAAGATATGTTTGTGCAGCATGTGTATGCCTGTGCCCACATAGGCCAGAAGAGAGCATCATATCCTCTGGAATTACAGATGGTTGCAAGTTACCATGTACGTACAAGGAATCAAACCTGGGTCCCCTGGAAGCACAGTTAGTGCTCTTAACCAGAGTCATCTTTCTAGTCCCCAAAGCTAGACTTTAAAAATATATATCCCAGGCTGGTCTCCAATTCTCTATCCTCAGCCTCCTGAGTATTAGGATGATAGGGGTGTGACACCATGCCCAGTTAAAAATAATATTGTGCTGGGCATTGGTGGTGATTGCCTTTAATCCCAGCACTCTGGAGGTAGAGAGGCAGGTCGATCTCTGTGAGTTCAAGGCCAGCCTGGTCTACAGAGCCAGTTCCAGGACAGGCTCCAAAGCAATACAGAAAAACCCTGTCTCATAAAAATGATAATTTTTGTGTCCATCTATCAGGGCAGAATACTTCTCTTATTTATCCCTTCATCTTTTAAAACAATAAAAGTCAATTCCTAGGGGTTTGTGAGCATATGCAGTAGAGGAAAAGATGGTATACTTCTTTATATCCTCAATTAAAAATAGCTATTTTAGCCACACTCTAACGATGAAATTTGCAATGTGAATTTAGCTATACTTTTCTTTTGGAAGTGTGAGGTTAAACTGTAGAAATTGATCTTAGCACTTGGAATGTCAAGGAAGTTAAAGGAGGATCAAAAGTTCAGGGTCATCCTTGACTGATTCCATAGCAAGATTGAAACCAGCCTGGTATATGGAAAACAAGTCTCATAAGGAAGGTTGGTTGTGATGACTCATGCCTCCAATCCCAGCACCTAGCACATAGCCCACAGCACATAGCACGAAGAAGCAAGAGGATCCCTGAAAGACTGGGGTGGACAGCCTGGTCAATAAGAGTTTCAGGCCAGCCAGGGTAACTGGATCTAGTGGTATGTGCTTATAAACCCAGCTTTTGGGAGGTGAAGGTAGGAGATCAGGCATCCATCCATGGTCATCTTCAGCTACATATGGCATTTGAGGCCAATCTGCGTTATATGCAAGCCTGTCTCAAAAACAAAACAAAGCCAAACAACAATAAAATGGAATTCGCCACCAGAATGTTGATAGTTATAGAGAAAAGAGTTTTACTATAGAGGAAAACACAAAAGGTTCTATATAACTGGCTTCCCTAGGCTAGAGGAACTTTATCAAAGTAGTATTCTCACACAGACAAAAGACTTGAGCTGCCATATGATCCCAAGGAGTAGGACATGTTTGTCAAAATCTCTATGTGGTCAGCTAAACATTGCATAATGAACATGAACCCATATACATTCCCTCTGAAAACATCCCAGAAACCACAGAAGATCTGCATAGAAAAATCCTATAGACAGTGGAAATAAGATAGGGTAGGACAGTGGAAGCTGAAAAGTCAACAGGCAAACAAAAATGTACTGTGTGGAGTTATGCTACCCATGGGACGGGTGGCCAGTACTATGAAGTAGGCCTGCAGACAGGCCCTGGAATAGGGGCCACAGACACCTGTGAGGAGAGGGGAGATGGTTCTACTCTCTCTCACCTTGCCCTGCCCTTCCCAGGAGATAGAGCCTAACAGTTTCCTATGTGGGATTCAAGCTCACCTGGTACAGTGGAACTTGGGCTGTGATGCCAAACTGAAGCTACAGGGCATAGCCTGCACATGGGTTTGTGTCAGACCAGGCTCTTGTTGTCTTGCCTGCAGCTGGCCAGGAGGTTGAAGAGTCCTCTATCAGGGAAGCTACCTACTTACAGGTAGTCAAGTCTCTCCAACCATAGAAGTCCATCTCAACATAAGGTGCTCAAGTATCCTCAGTACAGTGTCATTACTACAAGACAAGGGAGAGGATCCTGCAACCCAGAAGGCAAAGTTCCAAAAAGCTTCTGAGAAAAGTACACAGAAAGAAGACATTTTGAGAAAAGTATAAATTGTACCCTCTGGGGATGGTAAAATTATAAAGTCATGAAACAAGAACATTCTAAAAAGGGGACTCTGTTACAAAGAAAAAATGCCAGCTTTTTTTGTTTTGATAATATTTTTTGGACAGAGTCTTACTCTATAGCTCAGGCTGGCCTGGAACTTACTATATAAGCCAGACTGTCCTCAAACTCATAGTGATTATTCTGCCCTAACCTCCTGTGTACTGGGATGAGAAATGTTAAATCACAATACCCTGCCTTTATTTTGTTTAGAAATAGGGTTTCTCACTTGTGACCCAGAATGGCCTCTCACAATCCTTCTGCCTCTACCTCTCAACTGCTAGGATTATAGTTCTGAGCCAAGCCCTGCTTGGAAAGCTGACTTCAAAAAATATGAACAAAATAAATAGCAGTGACAATCATAATCATCATAATAAAAACCAGGCCTGGTAGCTCAGGTCTGTAAACCTAGTTACTTGGGAGCCTGAAGCAGGAGGATTGACATTTCAAGGCCTGCTGAGGATATAGATTGACTTCAAGACCCAGCTAGGCAACCTAGTTAAAATAAAAAAAAGTCAAAAAGAGGTCTGGGTATGTATTTCAGCATTAAAACATTGCCTGGTGTGAGCCAGGTCCTAAATTCAATTTCCAGTACTGCAAACACAACAACAAAAACCCTACATGAGAGTAAGAGGCAGACAAAGCCGCAGGGATGCTGCAGAGGGGAAGGCTGCCCTCTGCTGTCAGGATGATGGAAAAAGTTCTGGAGCTTAAAGGGCAACTGGGATTTTGTGTGTAGGGAATGGCCTTTCTTTGGTGGAAGAAAAACCACAAAAGGATAGAAGACAGCTATTGCTGAGCCTGAATACACAACATGGATTTCAGGAAAAAGGCAAGGGAACCCTTTACAGATCTGATTTTCTTTGAGTCTATTTGTTCTTTCTGAAGGAAACATGTTTTACCTTAACTTGGCTAAAGAACACACCTCCTTCCTATCCTGACTTTCATGCCAAGTCTGCCCTCCCTTTCTATTTTCGGGCATGCTGCCAAACAAACAGGGCCTCTGAAGGGCTATGGGGCCTGTTTGGATCAACAGATAGTGTCAAGAGGATTCTGGCCTCTATTCAGTGACTCTTCCTTAACACTGTACATATTAACTAGATAGAGTCCTTAGGAAAGTGAAATCTCTACTGTGAAACAGAAATCATCACTGTAGGAGTGATCAGTGTCTCTCTGACTGAAGGATATGGTGCTTACAGTTTAGGAACAAGGGCAAATCTCATCTTGCTTAGTAGCTCATCCTCTTGGAGCATGACCAGGGCGACAGGGTACATCTGATCAAAGTCAAAGTTAAAGTGCACACCAGCTGGTGGGTCACGAAGGAAATTCCTCTTGTCCTGTGATGAAAAAGGAGGCAAAAATGGGTGGCAGGATCACAAAATGCAATTAATAGGTTATAATGTATCATGGATACATTATACATTGATTTTTTTTTCTAGACAGAGTTTCTCTGTGTGTAGCTCTGGCTACCCTGGAACTTGATCTGTAAACCAAGCTGGCCTTGAACTCAGATATCCCACTGCCTTTGCCTCCTGAGTGCTGGGATTCAAGGTGTGCATTACTAAATTTTAACCAAGTTTTCAGTTACAAAATCCATTGAGCTGTCATTTAAAAGAGACAGGAGAACAATCCTTCCAAACTTTTTTGTAACACTTACCTGGACAGAGGCTCCCAGGAGGCCAGCCAGTTCACATAATTGGTTGAAATTACATAAAGATAATATAAACATGAGTTTGTTTTTATTGGACGCTTTTAGGTATGTGAAAGCTATTAGAAACATTCTAACTAAAGGACAAACACAGTGGAACAGGCCTGTAATCCCACCAATTGGGAGGTAGGGGCCAGGGGATCAGGACTTCAAAGTCAGCATCATTTATATAGAGAGAGGTTTTGAAGTCCTCCTGGGCTACATGAGACCCTGTCTCAAAAAGACAAGAAATTGGTCTGTGAGATGGCTCAGTGGGTAAAGGTATTTGCCACCATGACTTATAACCTGAGTTTGATCCCTAGGGTCTACAGAGTGGAAGGAAGGAGATGGGGCTGGAGTGATAGCTCAGTGGTAAAGAGCACTGGCTGTCCTTCCAGAGGAACCAGGTTCAATTCTCAGCACCAAAACAGCAGCTCATAATGTCTGTAACTCCAGCTCTAGGGAATCCCACACCTTCTTCCAGCTTCCTCAGGCACTGTATGTAAGTGGTACATGGACATACTAGCAAAACACTTGTACACATAAAATAATAAAAATAAAAAATAAAAAAAATCAAACAACAGAACTTCCACCATAAAACATTCAAGAAAAGCATGGAATGACGGATCTCAGAACCAAGAGCTAGAATGCTTATAATCCCTATACTTGGAAGGTGGAAGCAGGAGGCTTAGAAATTTAAGGCCAGACTCTGCTATAAAATGAGTCCAAGGCTAGTCTGAGCTACCCTAGTAAGTTTGGAACAAGACTGGCCCACCTCAAAACAAAAACTCAACAAAGTAAAACAACACAACACAGAATCCTATTAGTTACAGACAACTTGTGGCTCAACATAACACTCTCCTGCACCTAGCTCTCTAATATATCTGGTGTCTGCACAAGTGTGATGGCTAATCTTGGTTGTCAAAACTTGATTACATCTGAAATCAACTAAAACTCAAGCTGATAGGCACTCGTGAGGAATTTTATTAATCAGATTATTTGAAGGAGAAAGGCCCACCCCAAATCCGGCAGCCCACATAAAAGGACACAGGAGGAAACCTTGCTTTTTGCCCAGTTGCCTCTCTCTCTCTTTCTATGGCAAATGTATCTATCCTACTGCTGCAGCTAGTATTACATCTACCTTCTTCAGGATTCCAATGTATACTGAGGACCAGCAGCTATATCCAGGAACCTTCAGGGACTTCAGCACCAGACAGGGACAGCAGAGATATCCAGCCTTGTGGACTGGACAACTAACAGATTCTCAGCTTTCCATTGTAAGACAGCTGTTGGCCTATCTGAACCACATCCTGAGAGCCAGTCTAATAAATCTACTTTTAATGTGTATAGTCATTCTGTCAGTTCTGTGCCTTTAGAGAATCCTGACTAGTGCAGGTAAGATTTCACATAAATAAGAAGGTAGGCAGTCCATACATTGTGATTACCTAACACTGTTATTTAAAGACCTTGTTTGATACATAAAGGAATTTTCACTTTATAAAAATATTACCTTTTTTTAAATTTTGTTTTAAGACAGGGGTTCTCTCTGTAGTTTTGGAGCCTGTCAATCTGTAGACCAGGCTGGCCTCAAACTCCCAGAGATCACTCTGTCTCTGTGCTGGGATTAAAAGTGCATGCCACCACCACCCAGCTTTTCTTTCCTTTTTAAAAGAAGTTTTCATGTGTATAGGTGTTTTATCAACATCTATGTCTGTGCACCACACGCATGCTTGATGATTGCAGAGGTCAGAAGAGGATGTACGATCCTGAGACTGGTAGATAATGATGGTTGTGAGCAGCCATGTGGGTGCCAGGAATCAAACTAGGTTCTCTGAAAGAGCATCTAGTATTCTTAACCACTGAGCAAACTCTCCAGTCCCAACTTTTTATTTTAAAGACAATCTCCTGTAGCAAAGGCTAGCCTTAAATTCTCCATCTATTGGAAGGTAACCTTGAACTCCTGATCCTCCTACCTCAGCCTCCTGACTGCTGGGATGACAAGCATGAAAACTGACTTTCCTTTTTCATTCAAGGTCATGAAGAACTTTCCAGTTCTAAGGGCTAAACCAGACCCATTTCCATAGTCATTTATATACTTTCTAACCTGTTTGAAAGAGTTCTCAAAGCCAGGTATAATAGCACACATCTGTCACATACCAGCACTTGAGAGGCTAAACCTGGAGGATTGCCTAGAGTTTGAGAACAGCCTGGGCTACATATTGACTTCCAGAATAAGACCCCATGTTTAAAAAAAAGAGAAGAGCTTTTATTCCTCTGTAAAGTGATCTTTGTATTTTTAAAATTATCATTATTGTGTATGTTGAGGGGGAGGTAGAGACACACACCCCTGTGATACAGCTTGTATAAAGAGAGGACAATGTTAATTTGGTTCTCTCTTCTATCTTTCATGTGGGTCTAAGGGATTGGACTCAGGTCACTAGGCTTGTGAGGCAAGAGTTTTCTTTACCCACTGAGCCATCTTGCTGGCTCACAATATGGTATCTTTTAAAGAAACTCCAGTAAGTGGAGTTTCTGGTTCATGAGTACACTTATTTCAATGACTATTACCCAGGCTTTCCAGTGGAGGAGGTATACAAGGAAGTCTCACAACTTTTTACTAGAAAAAAAAGAGTAGAGGTGGAGTGTATAAACTAAATAGTTCACAAGACCCTGAATTCAATCCCTAGTAACAAAAAGGGGTGAGAGTAGGTTAAAGAGGATTGTCCAATGAGATAGCTCAGAGATCCTGGCACCAACCTGGTAGGAGAAAACCAACTCTCTGCATGGTATACTGTGATCTCCACATGTGCTGTGATGTGTACACACACGTACGTACACACACACACACACACACACACACACACACACACACACACAATTTTTTACAAAAAGAAAAAGTAGGTTGAAAACAAAGATGAGCCTTGAATCCCAGCATTCTGGAGGCATGGGCAGGTAGATATGTAAGTTCTGAGCAAGCTGGAGCTGTGCTGTAAGGCTTTGTCTCAGAAACAAAGAAAGGTGGTGGGGGAAGTGCTGGAGAGTTGGTTCAGCAGTTACAAACACTGACTGTTTTTCCAGAGGACCTGGGTTTGAATCCTAGCTCCCACATAGAGGCTCATAATTACCTGCAACTTCAGTTCCAGGGGATCCTATACTTTCTTCTGGCTTCTAAGGGCACTGGGCATACATGTGGTACATAGACATATATGCAGGCATGTAATACCCATACAGATAGAAATAAGCAAAAGTGAAAACAACTGATCACAGTGAAAATATTGATTCAGGAAGTTATGTGCCATGCACTGATCAAGCTGGCCTTTGCTTTCTGAGAACACATAAGTAAGCATAACATTAGAATCTCACCCCCTTGGTGTGCAATAGGAATAAAAGCACTAGGTACACGGTAGTCATTCTGGGAGCTTCAAAAGGTAAAAACTGTGGGGAAGTGCTTTCTGAAACTGTCCTCTGCAACATCATGGTTGGTTGGTATGGTTACATTTCCTGAAGTCCTAAAATAAAGTTTTGTGGGTCAGCAAATGGGATTCTCTCTATATTAATGTCAATTACCAAAAAACATATGTAGGTAGAGACAACACGGAACATAATTCATTCACAAGAACTGCATTGCTGCCTCATATAAAAGAATCTCTTCCTTTTTTGAAACAGCCTCACTATACAGTCCAGCCCAATCTCAAATTGGTGAAACTCTTTCTGCATCACTATCCCAAGTACTAGGAGTACAGATAAGAGACTCTTATCTTTTAAAGGCTGAAACAATCATTTGGCTAATAGGCTATACTTTATTGTGAAAAAAGAAAGAAAAGTGTAAACTAACTCAAAGTTTAAAAAAAGTCAGGCCAGGTGGCCTTAAACCCCAGCACCTAGGAAGCAGAGACAGATAGATCTCTTTATCTCTGTGAGTTTGAGGCCAGACTGGTCTACAAAGCTAGGGCTTTGCAAGGAAATACTGTTTTGAAAAAAAAATCAAAACAAATCATGGGTCAATAAAGAATGTCATGGGGCCCCACCCCTGCCTGGAGATCTAAACACATTTTCTTCAGTGGTATAGCCATTGGTAAGTTGGTCATGATCCTATAAATAACTTCTCACCCATGTTCCTTTAAGGATCCTAATGAAACTCAATGAGTCAACAAGAACAAAGGCTGGGGATGTGGCTCAGTGCTAAAGTACTTATCTAGCATGCCTGACTCAGTACTGAAAAAACAAAACAATTCAGGAAGTTACTAAGAAATCATGAAGTTAACAGGCACGTTCTTAAGCTTTCAAAAATGTTTATAAATATTTATAAAAAAGGACATAGTGGCACATGCCTTTAATCCTAGCATTTGGGAGGCAGAGGCAGGTGGATCTCTGTGAGTTCAAGGCTAACCTGGTCTACACAGTAAGTTCTAGGACAGCCAGAGCTATATAGTGAGACCCTGTCTCAAACCAAACCAAATCAACCAACCAAAACTGTAAAAGTCTGGGGCATGGTGGTATATACTTGTAACCTCAGTATTAGGGAAGCTCAAATAGAAAAACAGTTATAGGCTGGCCTAGGCTACTTAGTAAGTTCAAGGCCAGCCTAGGCTATATAGCAAAATCCAGGACAGCCAGAGCTACACAGAAGAACCCCGTCTTGGGGAAAGAAAATGAAAAGTAATTCAGCTAAAGGGAAAATCCTGTGAACAGAAATGTACTAAGACAGGAGACAAATAGTATCCACACAGGGTATTTACAGGGTACTCACAGCTGATAAAGCCAAAATCTGCTGTTGAATTGTTTCTTCATCATGACTATCAACCCATGGTGGCACAGCTGCTTCTATACAGGAGGAAAAAAGGTTATTGGGGCTAGACAGATGGCTCAGTGGTTAAGAGCACTTCCTGCTATTGCAGAGAACCTGGATTCAGTTACTAGAACCCACATGGCAGCTTACAACTGCCAATTAATTCCAGTGGATCTGACACCCTCTTCTGGCTTCTGCAGGTACTACATGGTTACAACCATTATACAGTAATCTGTCATTTCAAAAAAACAAGGAAGGTTGTTACATTTAAGACACTAATTTACCAATAAGCACCAAATATGATTATTCACTATAATACCTAGATTTAATCTGTAAGCTTTATGCTTGGTCAACAAATACTCTACTTGAATGATAATTCAGATATCTGACCATAATTTAATCAGTTCTTCAAAATCAGTATCACTGGGCCCACAAAATGGCTCAGTGGGTAAAGGTGCTTACCTAGAAGACTGAAGACCTGAATTCGATGCCTAGGACCACATGGTGGAAGAGTCCTTTGACCTCCATATGTGCAAAGTGGCACACAAGAGTATATATATGCACACACGTACATAAACAGTAGGGGAGAAACACATTGTAGATATCTGAACATGTTATTTCAAGGACAAAATAGGGAGCTGGAGAAATGGCTCAGGGGTTGGAAGTACTGACTTTGCTTCCAAAGGACCCAGGTTCAACTTCCAGCACCTACATGGCAGCTCACCACTGTCTGTAACTCCAGTTCCAGGGAATCTGACATCATCACACAGAAATACATGCAGGTAAAACACCAATGCAAATGAAATAAAAATATTTTTTTAAAAAAGGACAAAATATCAGAATATACAATCCTATTCCAATCATGAGGAAATATCAGACAAAGCTCAAATATACAAAAGCATATTAAGAAGGGAACAGCCCACCCTCAGCATTTGGAGGTGGAGTCAGGAAGACCAGGAACTTGAGGACAACCTCAACCACACAGCAAATATGAGGTCAGCCAGGACTGCCTCAAAAAAAAAAAAAAAAAAGACAAAGGTTGTTAAAAAATTCCAGACTAAATAAGGCTAGCAGAAATGACAGAATATAATATCATATCTCAACCAGTTTTTATGCTTAACTAGATTCTGGGAGGGGGTCAACTAGAGATATGAATAGTTATTACATTTACGTATTATGTCTCTAGGAATGGTGGTGCATGACTGTTATCTTGGCACTTGCGAAACAGAGGCAAATAATTGCTTCAAGTTCTAGGCAGCCTGGGCTTCAGAGTAAGATGCTGTTTTTAAAAAAGCTGTGCATTGTGATCCACTTTAATCCTAACACTTAGGAGACAGGCAGATAGTTCTCTATGCAGAAGAACTCTATCAGTTCAAGGTCATCCTAGACTACACAGCAAGTACCAGGCCAGCCAGTGACACACAGTACAACCCTGTCAAAAAAAAAAAAAAAAAAAAAAGAAAGAAAGAAAGAAAGAAAAAGATAGAGAGATGGCTCAGTAATTTAGATTTTATGACAAAGAGCACTTACTACTCTTCCAAGAGGATTCCAGTTCGATTCCCAGCACATATGTAGTGGTTCACAACTTTTTGAAATTCCAGTTCCAAGATCTGATACTTTCTTGTGATCCCCCTTCAGGTCCCATACTGCTCTTACAGAGGCCCAAGAGTTCAGTTCCTAGCATCCATTGTCAGGTGGCTCACACCCACCTACAACTCCAGCTCCAAGGGACATGTCCCTATCACACATACACATAATTAACAATAAAAATAAATAGAAAGGGCTATTGAAATGGCTCAGCTTTTAAAAGCACTTGCTGCGAACCTGACACCATGAGTTCAATCTTTGGGACCCACATGGTAGGAGGATAGAATTCACTCCTGGAAGTTGTCCTCTGCCACACACAGGCCAGAAGTAAATAAAAGTAATAAAAATGTGTGTGTGTGTGTGTGTGTGTGTGTGAGAGAGAGAGAGAGAGAGAGAGAGAGAGAGAGAGAGAGAGAGAGAGAGAATAGGATCTTGAGTGTAACCACTGCAAAAGACAAATTAGAGGCAATAAATGATAGGGCTGGAATCAAACAGTCAATGAACAGTTAGAAGCTGTTAACAAAATGACATACACCTAGCTAGATACAATTAAAGGGAATCCAGGACGCCATTCAAGCACCCATCTGCTGCTTTTTATAGTAGATTCTAACTGCACTAAGCCCCCAACACACATCAGACCCAAAGCAATCCATTCCAAAGTAAATAGGCAGTTCCATATTTGCCACATACAAAGTGATGAAGTAATGGTCACAGTTAGTGTTAGACTGGAGGTATAGTAGCTCAGTTGGTAGAGTGCTTGCTTAGCATACATGAGATATTAAGTGCCATGCCCAGCACTGTACAAACCTGGTATCGTAATATATACCTATAACGCCACCACTTGGGAGGCAAAGGAAGGAGGGATGGAATCCAAGGTCTTCATTTACTATATATCAAATTAGAGGTCAATCTTAGCTATGTGAATCCCCGTCTCAAAAATAAAAACAAATGAAAAACAGTTGGTATCAATATCTGGGCCTGGATTTCTGCAAAGACCTGTCAAAATTGGGATCCTTCTCTGCAATGCAGAGCCTAGAAGTCTTACCCCTTCCACAGCTGCTGCCCTAGCTGAGATGAAAGAAGAATCTGACAACATAGGCTATTTATTGCTGGTGTTAGTGTTTTATTTATTGACTGATTTTGAGACAGTGTTTCATATAACCCAGGTTGGCCTTCAACTCACTATGTAGTTGAGGTTGGCTTAAACTCTTGATCTTTTTACCTTTGCCTCCCAAATGCTGGAGTTACAGGTCTCAGCTAGGTTATTTGCTTTGATTTCTGTTGTTAGACTAGGTCTTTCAAATCTAGCTGGTCTCAAACTCCTGGCAATCCTTTTGCCTTAGCGTCTTGGGTACTGGAAACACAGGTGTGCACTACCTAGCCTGGCCTGACCCTCTTTTCTATCATGTTAAGTAAAAGAGAGTGTGAGTGAGTGAGTGAGTTTGTGTGTGTGTATGTATGTATGTATGTATGTATGTATGTATATTTGTATTTTTCTGTTTTGAAATAGGGTCTCTCTACATAGACCTGGCTATTCTGGAACTCGCTGTGTAGACAAGGCTGGCCTAGAACTCTCAGCAATCAACCTTTCTCTGCTTCCCAAGTACCGGATAAAAGGCATGTACTACCACATTTGACTATTTTTTTTGATTAAAAAGGTTTTGTTTTGTTTTTTCATTTTGTAGCTCAGGCTGGGAGTACAGCCTCAAACTCACAGCAATCCTTCTACTTTAGCTTCCCAAGTGCTGGGATTACAGTTGTGAGCCATTATGCCTGGTGATGGAGATCTAACCCAGGGCCTTGTATATATTATGTACATGTTCCACTATAAGATTCCGCCCCAGTATTATACATTTTTGTATACCCAGAGTCTTAGTATAGGTCTAACACATAATAAATGCTCAATAAAACTTGGTAGGGAAGCTGGGAGTGTAGCTCAGCAGCAGTGCTTGCCTAGCATGTGCCAGGTCTTGGGGTTGAACCCCAGCACCACAAACTAACACATACATATTCACACACACACAAAACTTGGCTGAGAAATTAAGAAAAACCTATATCATACCTGACTTCTTTGTGTTCTGTTCTTCAACAAATTTTTTCTGTTCTTTTTGAAAATCCCCTATAATGGTCTGTTAGAAAAACACATGAAGTCAAATTACTTTGAAAGTTTACTATTAAGTAAGAATAGCAGTCAAGCTACATGAGTACATATATGAAATTGTTCAAGAATCAAGAAAAGGTATTCTAAAAAATTCCATCAACATATTATATTTTACTTGAGTTAAAGAGATTACACTAGCTACTTACAACTTTCATAAATTCCTCCTTTTACAAGTTTTCTAAACATACCTTCTCAATGATGCCATCTATTTTTCCTTCTTCCACAGATTTCTTTATTGTCTGAGCTGTTTCAGCAACAGACTCAGTTATCTTCTTTGTGGCAGCACTCGCAAAGTTAATCAAATAATCTGCAATGGACAAACAGGGTCTGTGGTTTATCCAAGTGCAATGGTTATCACACCTTCCCATCAGTAGTTACAGGGAGATCTTCTCAAGGACCTTCTTGGATACCAAAATCAAATTTGTACATGTTCAGGTCCCGTTTGTAATAATGGCACAACATAGAACCTATGAATATTCATCCATATAGTCCTGTGTATATTAAATCACCTTTACTGGGATCCAATCTCAGGTCCTTATGGTTGCATAGTTCTTAACCACTGAACCGTCTCTTCAGCCCCTATACTGTCATTTTAATCTAAGGAAAACTATTTGAAATTGGCAAACTGGCTGGGCATGGTGGTACATGCCTTTAACCCAGCATTTGGGAGGCAGAGGCAGATGGATTCCTGTGAGTTCAAGACTACCTTGCTGTCTACATAAGTAGTTGGGATATATATTGAGACTGTTATCCAGCCTCCCCCAAAAGTAGTAGGGGGCTATATGGCTCAGTGGTTAAAGATACTTGTCACTAAGCACAATGACTCCCACATAGTTGAAGTAGAGAGCCAACTCCTAAAAGTTGTCCCTCAACTTGCACCACGGCACACATGTACTCACATACACAAACAAAGAAATTATCAAAGCAGACAAATATGGCATTTAAGGAATGAAGCTAGAATAGAAAGAAAAAAACCTGTAAAAACATGAAAATCCTTAACAAAATAACATTCTTACACAGAGGTAGGTTAATTTTTTCAAAGATATCTCACTTAATTTTAGAATCCTGGGAATCTTAAGTATTAGAAGGGTACTTAGATGTGAATGGATTCTCCTTCAATGCATGCCTTTAATTCCAGCATTCAGGAGGCAGGGGCAGTCAGATCTTTGAGAATTCAAGGCCAGCCTGGTCTAGAGCTAGTTCCAAGACAGCCAAGGCTATGAAAAAAAAACCTGTCTCAAAAGCTGAAAGCTTTAGCAAGTCTCTTGTCATTTCTACCTCTCAGTTTTAAGTCTCTCTCCACCTGCAACAAAAATCTGTTGTTGCTGGGCTTAATGGAACACACTTTTAATCTCAGCCCTTAGGAGACAGAGGCAGGCAGAGCTCTATGATTTTGAGGCTGGCCTTGTCTACATAGTGAGTTTCCAGGACTGCCAGAGCTACATAGTGAGACCCTGTCTCTAAAACAAAAAACAAACTATTATTATGAGTATGAGTACATGATATATGTGGGGATAGGGCACATGTTGGAGGCCAGAGGATAACTCTGTGGTGGCATTTCTCTCCTTCCACCTTTCTTTGGGTTAGGGGAATCAAAAGCAGGTTATCAGCCTTTCAAGGCCAGTATCTATATTCACTGAGCCATACTGGCCCCTAAATCGGTCCTTCTTCTTGGGGAACATAAACGTCTAACTAAGCAATGTCCTTATGTTTCTTCCTGAAACTAAAACTGCTAGTTCTAAAGACCATTGTTTATAAGCCGTGGAATTCAAGCTCTTTCTGTAAGTGGAACTATGCTATCAGAACTCAATAGGTATTTTATATCTAGATTTTTTTTTCTTTTTGAGACAGAGTTTTGCTATCTAGCTTTGGCTAGCCTGATACTATGTAACCAGGCTGTCTGTAATCTTTCTGTCTCAGTATTCTGAGTTTTGGAGGATTCAACATCCATGTCCAGCTTAGATACTTATTCATCAAAGTACTCTAATTTTCCTAGATGTGCACTAGTTGTATCAATGACAAAGATATTTAGTGCTCCTAACATGATAGATGCCCTCCTTATTAAGAGTATAGGAGCTGGAAAAACAGCTCAGTGAGTAGTTAAGAGTACTGGCTCCTCCAGAGGACCTGGCTTTGATTCCCAACATCTCACAACCACCTGTACCTCCACTTTCAGGGGATGTGATGCCATCTTTTGATATCTGTGGGCACAAGGCACATGCATGGTACACAGACATACACACAGACAAAAGCCCCCATACACACAAAGAGCACAGAAGAAGATGATTTGGTTGGCTTTCAAAACAACTAACCACTGAATAATGGATGTTGTTTGCTCCTTTGGAGACAGTGGCCATAAGAAAGCCTAAGTTTGTCAGGAGGAAGGACTAAGGAGCAGGTGGTTTGGTGTAGAATGAAGGAAGAGAATGTAAAGTTGGGTGTTCACTATTGGTAATGGTAACAGTAAGTGACTTAAATGTATAAACAGGACGTACTTATGATCCAATCTTAAAGGGAGGGATTCAACAAATGTTTGCTTAACAAATGGAGCTCTCACTGGATTCCAGTAGAATTCAAAGGTCTAAAGAGACTACTTAACTGGGAATCAGGCTTAGAAATACTTTATTTTTCAAAACACGGGTAGGAGTCAGGGTGGTATAGCTAAATTTGATTATCTAATGATTACTCTTGTGAAGTAGAGGCAGGAGTTCAAGTCAGCATCAGCTATGTAGAGAATTTGAAGCTAGCCTTGGGATACATTCAAAAAACAAAAATAAAAAAACCAAAGCCAAATCAAAACAACAAAACCCCACAAATAAAAGTACACAAGTACATCTTCTTAGACAGAATGTATTTTTAGGGTCAATATGCAGAATTAAAACACCTAATAATTTTTCTAGCCTCTCTAAAATACTATGCATAAACTAGAACTTTCACATAAAGTCACATAAATTATAGGAGCAAGAGCTTTCATTTATTCTAAAACTTTAAATTTCTAAATAGAAAGGAAGGGTTCCATCTAAATTCAGCTTATTCAAACATCAAGAGAACCTGATAAAGAAAAACAAAAATAAACCACCAATAACAGAGAGAACCTGATGAGGAAAGATGGTAGAAGGCATGGCTCAGAAGCCTAGCACGTATGTGGCTCTAGGTTTTTCGGTCCTGAAAAGAAATGTCATGGAAATTTTAGCTGGGTATGATGGTGCCCACCCAGAATCTTAGCACTTGTGAAGCAGAAACAGGAAGATCAGTAGTTCTTGCCGTTACAGATAATGGCTCACTAAGTTGTCAAGGCTGGCCTAGAACCCACAATGTAGCTCAGGCAGGCCTAGATACAGTGATTCTCAAGCCTTAGCCTCTAAATAGCCAGCATTCCTGACTTAGGTCAAGCTTTTCTGTTTTTGAGACAAGGTTTCAGGTAACCTTGGCTGGCTTGGAGCTTACTATGTAGCTGAGGCTGGCCTTGAACTCCTGATCTTTCTTTCTAAGAATCCCAAATTCTGAGGTTACAGTTCTGTGCCACCACACCAGGCTTTCATCCCACATTAATCTATCCTAACTACCTAATATAACCTCTGCTCTTGTAAAGTCTCCTCACATTCCTTGAATATTACAAGTCATTCCTTCCCAATTTTCTACACTGAAAATATTAATTCTCTTTTCTGGTGATTTCATGCTGTCACACTTAGTTTTATTTCCCTTGTGCAGTCTTTGGGATTCTTAGCTGAGATGATATATTGTTACAATTAGATAGTGTGGCTGTTTTCCCTGTTCCTGTACCTGACAGTCAAACTTTTTGAACATTAGGACCTTTCCTACTGAAGTCTGTGTTTCTCTGTTCTTTGGTACCCTAAATCTATTTGATAGGCCCTTAAAAAGTTCTAAATTTACTGGGTATGTGGTGGTGAACCCCAGTAATCCCAACAGGAGGGAGACAGGAAAGATTGCAGGGTTCAAAGCCATCCTCGGCCACATGGTGAGATTGATGCTAGGCCTGGCTATATAACACACTGTCTCAAAACAACAACAACAAACAACCTGCTAAATCTAGCATACATTTTTGTTATAATTTTCTTATGTTTACTTTTGTTGAGGGCCCACTACCCCAAAGTCACCTTCTTTGACTATATAAGCCTGCCAAAGTCTCTCTAGAATTAGTTACTACAGTAGGTATTTATATTCTCAAGGAATACTTTTTGTTAAACTTCGACTATAAATTTGGAAAGAGTATGGGCTTTGAAATCAGGTAGATGTTTGGCTTAAATTCTACTGGTACCACTTACTATCAGTAAAATGTTGGGTTTGTTCCCCCAACTCCTTGGGGATGGTGAATAGATGAAACTCAGGTATTTACTGTCATCAAAACTCTAGCACTGAAACTTGAATATAACAGACAATTGGCAGCTTCTTTTTCACCTCAAGGAAAAAGGTCCTGCTGTATGTGCCTGAGGGGAGGGGGAACCGATTACGAAGCACTTCTGAAGCAGAGTGGGGAGGATCAAGGTCATCCTTGACTACAAAGCAAGTTCGAAACCATCCTGGGCTACATGAGACTGTCTCAAGAAAATCAAAAGAACACATGCATGACTTAAGCTTGAGTAACTTACCAAGTCACCTGACACAATACCTTTCAGTCCTTTCTTGGGACAAAAGGCATTTTCCAAACTACTCTAGCTGGGAGACCAGAGGTGGAGTTGGCAAGTTGAACAAACCAAACTGCTTGTCAAAACTCTCCAAACAGCGACACATTGCTCGCTTTACCGCGCTGGGGCTTCCTATGTATGCAAACTTTGCAGGAAAGCAACAAGTTCTTAGGCACGTCGAGGACACGACTTGACTATTTGGTAAAGCTTCGATGTCGCCCAGCTCCTCACCCAACTCTCCCATGTCACACACCGGCATCCCCTCATCTCCTCCCAGCCCGCCCTCGCGTCTTGTAGGGGACTCACTGCCAAGGCCTTTGGCCTGGTGGAGGAGCTCTGGGTCCTCTGTTGGCTGCTGCTCGTGCTCGGTGGTCTCTGCCGGTGGCTTGGAGTGCTCCTCAGGTGACGCGTCTCCTGACAACAGCTCGTCCCCGCCGGGCTGCTCTTCTTTCGCCACCGGCCCCTCGGGCTGCTTCAGGCCCAACCAACTGCTCAATCCTCGGAACATCCCGCCCGCGGGATCGCCGCCGCCCCTGCTGCAGTCCCCTCACCCAAGAGCCCTGCCACCACTGACCGCCCAGCGATTTGACACCGCGGGTCTTCGAGGGAGACTGACCGGAAGCCTGAGCGACACCTCGGCCGCCAGTCCCCCTTCAGTGTGCGGTTAACCCACCCTCTATGACTGCACCTCAGCTGGCTGAACATGCGTCACGTCCGGCTCAAGCTCCGCCCCGCTTGCGTTGGGGCGGGTTCGCCTGGAAAAGGGGCAAAAGGCCAAAGAGCTCCCCGTGCAGAGCCCCGCCCCGTCTCTGCCCTTGTACTCTTTCAAACCCAGCGTTATGAGCATTTGGACGGCATCTTTTCTGGGGCTTGTCCTACCTGATCTCATTTTGTCATTGCCTCGAAGTGACAAAGCCTCGCCTTTCCAGGTCCAGCTGGACTTGATTACACCCCCATCCCCGCCCCTTGGAAATGGAATAGTCTTCCCCTGAGCCTAAGTAACCCCATTTGGGGGTAGTGGCTCATACTTGCAGTCTCAGCATTTGGAAACTGAAGAAAGAAGGATCAAGGGTTCAAGGCCAGCCTTATGTACTTAATGATTTAGGTCAATCTGAGCTACAAAAGACCTCATGTCAAAAGCACAACAGCATTAAAAAAATAAAACCTAATTAAAAAACAACAACACAAAACAGCAACAACAAACATTGCAAGCAAGAAGTTGGGATAGTTGGGATGAGGTACTTGTAGATTAAAAATGGTTTACAGTGGGTGGGTGAGATAGCAGGTAAAGGTTCTTGCCACCAAGCTTGTCAAGCTGAGTTTGATTCCTGGTACCTATGTGATAGAGTGAGAGATAGGTTTTCTGTTCTTTTGACCTCCACACATACTCTATGGTTACCCACACAATACAATCAATTGAATTTATTTTGCATAGCAGCTTAGAGAACTGGGACTGTAACTCCGAGGCAGAGTGGGAAAACACATGCTCAACACAGCAAAATGTGCACAAAGAGACTTAGCTGAACATAGTGGAACACACCTGTACTCTCAGCACTCAGGAAGCTGAGGCAGGAGGATTCTGACTTCAACACCTGCCAGAGCTACATGAGACTCTTTTCCAAAACACAAAAACGAGTGAAACAGAATATAAGACCCTGGTGGAGTACATGTCTTATATAAGACCCTGGTGGAATGCATGACTCATATAAGACCCTGGTGGAATGCATGACTCATAGGTAAAGGTGCCTTCCACCTTACCTTGACCTGAGACTCGCATGGTAGAAGAGAACTTACTCCTGTAACTTGTCCTCTTATTGCCATACCTGTACCATAGTATGTATTGTGTTTGCCCCCACCTACACTATATAAAATGCAATAAAGATTAAAAGAAAAGAAAAAAATCCTTGGGTACTTGTGGTTTTTTAAAGTCAGGGCCTCAAGGGCTGGTGTGGTGAGATCTTTAATCTCAGCACTTGGGTGGCAGAGGCAGGCAGATCTCTGTGAGTTTGAGACCAGCCTTGTTTGTTAGGACAGATAGGGTTACACAGTGCGGCTTTTGTTTTTCTTCATTGTTGTAGTTTTTTAAAGACAGGGTCTAAATTTGCCCAGTCTGGCCTTGTCTTGAACTCTCTGCCATACTCACCAAGTTGCCCCTTTGCTTTCTTTGCTTTGTTTTTTTAAAGACGTGGTTTTTCTGTGTAGTTCTGCTTGTCCTGGAACTCGCTCTGTAGAGCAGGCTGGCCTCAAACTCACAAAGATCCACCTGTCTCTGCTTCCCAAGTGCTATAATTAAAGATGTACACCATCACCTCCAGGCTCCTCACAAAGCCTTTCTTTACTTAAAAATCATTTATTCAATTTAGAAACAATCTTATTTTACATATCAATCCCAGTTCCCTCTCCCTCCCATCCTCCCATGCCCCCCCATGACGCCCCCATCCCACCCCCATCCACTACCCGGGGAGGGTGAGGCCATCCATGAGGGATCATCAAAGTCTGTCACATCATTTGGGGGAGGGCCTAGGCCCTCCTGCATGTGTCTGGACCAAGGCTTTCTTATCTGGTTCTGGGAATCAAGCTCAGTGCCTTCTTCATGCTAAGTATGTATTTTACCAACTGAGCTACTCACCCAAATTCCACAATTGGGCATTTTATTTGAATATTAATTCAGCAAACACATTTAAAAAGATTATGATACTTAACATAGATGTCATTTGGACCTTAGGGAGCTGATGAGATTAAGGAATTGTGAGATTCTATTTAAACTGTAGTCAACATTCAAAATTTACTGTTAACCATTTTGAAGTCAGTAATTCAGTAGTATTAAGCACGCTCACATTACTTTGCAACCAGTCTCCAGAACTTTTCATCTTGCAAGCTGAAATTATTACACAAAACATCATTTTACTTAATCTCTATGGGCCTGCCTACTGTAGATACTTATATTCAGGGTTGGGATTCTGCCAATGTTACAATAGTAGATCTCTTACCTAGCAGAAAGGAGGCCCTAGGTTCAAACCCCAGGCCATGGAGAAATTGTTATAATTATACAGTATTCTCTCTCTCTGTCTCTCTCTCTGTCTCTGTCTCTCTCTCTCTTCATTTTTTCAATACAGAGTGTTTCTGTGTAACCTTGGCTGTCCTGGAACTAACTCTGTACACCAGACTGGCCTCCAATTCAGAGATCTGCCTTCCTCTGTCTCCAGAGTGCTGGGATTAAAGGAAAGTGCAACCGCTGCCCTGCCTTTTTTTTTAAAAATTGTGGTAATGCTATTATTATGTGAATGTGGGTATAGGTTTTCAAAGAAGTTCTTTTATTTTAGAGTCATATTGCAATATTGGAAGACAAAATGGAAACATGTTCAGAAATTGCTTCAAATTAATACCAGAAGAGCTGGAGAGATGGCTTAGTAGTTAAGAGCACTGGCTACACTTAGAAAAGACCCGGGTTGGATTTCTAGCACTCATATGGTAGCTCATGACTATCTGTAATTCCAGACTCAGGGGATCTGATACCCTCTTCTGGACTCCACAGGTACCTGTAAGGTATGTGGTGCACAGAAAGGCAGGTAAGACACACATATACATAGAAATAAAATAAATCTTAAAAAAATAGTACCAGAAATTGGAAGCTGATTTTAATTTTATATCTACTTTTTTCTGAGACAGGGTCTCACTGTGTAATTCTGGTTGTCTTGAAACTCATTATATAGACCAGACTGACCACAAACTCACAAAAATTCATCTGTCTCTGCTTCAGTGGTTGTTGGGATTAAAAATGTGCACCATTATGCTTGGCTTATGTTTTTTTTTTTTGTTGTTGTTGTTGTTTAGTTAGTTTGTTTGTTTTTTTGAAACAGGGTTTCTCTGGTTTTGGAGACTGTCCTAGAACTAGCTCTTGTAGATCAAACTTGTATCAAATTCACAGAGACCTGCTTGCATCTACCTCCAGAGTGCTGGGATTAAAGGCATGTTTATGTTTATTTTTTATGTGCTTGTTTTTTTTGTTTTGTTTTGTTTTGTTTTGGTTTTTTTCTGTAACAATAAGTCAAACAAGGAAAATGAGAAAGGAATTGATAAACATATTTCCCAAGCTCAGGGTCTGGCCATTTGGTGTGGAATGATGCCCATGTTTGAGATAGCCCTTTATACTGTGTGAATATGTGTCATTATGATTGTGTTAATAAAGAAGCTGGCTGGCCACTACCTGAACAGGTAGAAGTTAGGTGGGGCTTGCACACACACACACACACACACACACACACACACACACACACAGAGAGAGAGAGAGAGAGAGAGAGAGAGAGAGAGAGAGAGAGATGAGATGGAGAAGGATAGGGAAGGTCTCTCAATAGGAGGAGACTTGGAGGACATGAACTTGTTATAGTGAAACAAGATATCAAGCCACATTGCAGAGTGTAGATAAGAAATATGGGTTAATTTAAAATATAACAGTTAACTAGTAACAAGCCTGAGCTATTGGCTGAGCATTTATAATTAATAATACATCTCGATCTGGCTATTGGGAGTGGCTATTGGGACACAGAGAAACTATGCCTATATATGATGCTCAAACTTCTGGCACCTACATCCACATAAGACCTGAGAAAGCTTTAAAAAAGATTCTAAGCACACAAAAATGGAGTAAAACATAGTTTCCTGACAACCATGTTTTCTTGGGTAGGCTCAATAGTAGTGACAAACAGAGGTGCAGCTCCTTTAAGAGGCAGATTTCTTGATTCTGTGCTCATGTCAGCATAGGCATGGGTCTTTTAAGAGACTCTGTTACTGAACACTTAAATTGGGTTTACGAACAGCCGGCAGTGTACTCAGTGACAATGGGGAACCAACACCTTCTCAGAGCTGAGGTGGTAAACCTGGCACCCTCTGGTACTTCTACCATAAGGCTAAGCTCTCAGGGAACCAAGTGGGGAGGAGCCAGCTGCCAATGCCATGCACCAATGCATACACCAAGCTGAGTCATGCTGGCAAGTAACGTAGTAGATTTGTCTCATGTGATTAGAGAACAATGCAGATGATCAGTAAAGACAGATCCAGATTGAAAAAAAAAACTCTAAATGAGTTACAGTATGTTTAAAATATAAATAAGCTTGGCAGGGAGAAGAGAAAAAGTATATAAAGTTACAAATTAAAAGAAATATTTTAGAAGTAAAATCCTTAAAAAGAATTAAGCCACATGAAGATGGGAAATACACCGTGAGTCCAGACATTTTCTGATTGCCAGTGAAGGAATGACAGCTGCTAAGATACATTAGGTTATGAAATCTGATGGGTTAAACCAACCTATATATTTTAAAATCCTTTGACTTCAAAACGAAATTCAAAAGATGTGTTACTTTCTGGAAGCAGTTATGATTTTATTTCATAAGAAATGAGAGTCTGTGGATTCATTCTAGGTTGATAAGTACTTTCTGGAAGCAGTTATGATTTTATTTCATAAGAAATGAGAGTTTGTGGATTCATTCTAGGTTGATAAGGATCAGGTTTGATCCCTGAAAATATCTGAAATGGTATAAACCTAGGG